TTTCTGCCTTCAGCTTCATCTTTCTCTGCAGTTTGTGTATAATGATTCCTAAATAGGTGCTTTCTTTAGGGATATTTTTACACGTATTTTCCCTACAGATATAACACAAAAATCATAGAAGATAAAGTTGACAAAAATCCCAAAGGTTGTCTGAAACAATCTGTGGTGGAAAATTGTCCCCTGTTGTACATCTTTGTTCCAGAGTAATTTTAAATGCTTCAAGCAATAAAATGCTAAACAATTCCTTTTATAAGCAGTTCTGGGTTTTACTTTGAGTTCCCTTTGCTTCATTTCATCCCCTATTTCAGCCATGCTGGAGCCAACACTACAGTTTCTGAAAACTTCTTTAATATTTGTGTATTTAAATATGTGCAGGCAGTCATCTAAAATCAGTTTCTTTAAAAGTGCTGATAAATTCAGATTAATTTCAGTACTTCTCAGTCACTGACTATTTACAGAGCAGAACTCTTCAGGGAATTAAGGAAAAAATGCCATTTAAATAATAAAAATTGACATAGAGTTAATATATATATTGATATATATATTGTCTATCAGGGTTGTTTAAAATATTACAGTTGTTTCCAGAAGCTGTATTGGAGAGCAGAGGTTGGCACCCACTTCTGATTTTTATTTGAAGCCTAAAATGAGATCTCATTTTGTACAGTGTATTTCAATTTCTGTGTAGCTGTATAAGAAACAAGCAAGCAGATCATTTTAGAGTTTGGGACACTGTATGACAATAAGCTTCAATGAAAAAAACCACAGAAGTACAAATGGTTTCTAGATAGTGTAAGTGAGATTGAATGCAGTTTACTCATCTATAGGAAGGTATTTTGGACAAATCAAAGGTGTTTTGATATTTGCACTGTTTAGATAGCCGTTACCTGATTTTTGCATAGGTTATACTACTTTTACTAAAATGACTAGAAAACCAGGAGACATTGGTCTCTAAATGAAGACCAACACTAACAAAGATATATAAACATAGAACAAGAACTGATGTATTTTTTACATACCTGATGACTTTGAAATTGTGTTTCAAGTGCAATAGCATAAAATAATTCACTTATGTGCACTGTACTACCTAATCACCTATTTACATTTCTGTGCAAAAATACTGAAATTCATTAGAGACGTCTATGTTGCTTTATCATCACTGGCTTTATGCTCCCTTCCCATCTTTCCATTTGGGTGATTTGATTTACTCAGACAACCTAATGTCTTTCTTATAGGTTTGGGTAAATAGATCTTCCACAAATCTGTCCAAAATCCTGCCAAAATGCTAACATTGTTAGTGCCCAGGGCAATGTCCTGTACAAAGGAAGAAACAACATAAGAGACATGTTAATCTTTAGCCTTGTAACCCAAATACCTTCATTGATAAAGGCTATTACAGTGATTTGCCAGAGAGAAGTGAGTTGTTTGAGCACGTGAATTTGTTCAGACTGGTTTTATTTGCTTTTCTTTGGAAATATGACAGATCATGTTGAGCAACACATTTACATCTGATCCACCCACGGGGGCTACTAAGGACATGTTCTAAACTCCAAAAATGCAGTATAGACTGTTGTAGCAATGTTGACAAGAAGGCGACAAGACTGGTTATACAAAATTACCTATCCTTTTTAAAGTAAGAACTATTCTTTTCCAAACTGTTAACACTAGTATTAGATATATAAACAAATGTATTGTCTTTAACAGTCTTGCAAATCACTGTCTTGTAAATCTCCTTTTTCTTCCCTTAAACTAAGATAAGCTGTAAAAAAGTTGAAAGGAAGGCAAAGGCTGGGACATTCTTAAGAAGTATATTTGTTTCTTTGCGGTACCTCCTAGAAAAATTTCTACTTTCAAATTACCAATGAAAGGAAACCAGGCACTGAATTGTTGTAGTGCTAACTTAACTAGACGGGAACAGGGTTGTCAGCTGGTGCAAGTCCCCCCTGTGTCATTTAAGCACTCTTATGAGGAGATAGATTTAACTTCAGATGGGCTCATCTACTCAGCATGCTGTCTGCTCATCCTAGCCAGGTGTAGGAGGTCAACTGTCACAAGCTGGAGCAATTAAGACAGTAACCTATGCAAAAAGTCTTGCTGTATTTTGCAGATGACACCAAGTTGGGTGGGAGTGTTGATCTGCTTGAGGGCGGGAGGACTCTGCAGGGGAATCTGGGAGGCCTGAATCTACGGGCTGAGGCCAATTGCATGAGGTTCAACAAAGCCCATGCCATTTGCAGGCCTGGGGCAGAGTGTCTGGAAAGCTGCCCAGTGGAAAAGGACCTCTACTGGTCAACAACTGGCTGAACATGAGCCAGCAGTGAGTCCAGGTGGCCAAGAATGCCAATGGTATCATGTATTGTATCACCAATAGTCTGGCCAGCAGAACTAGGTCAGTGATTGTCCTCCTGTACTTGGCACTGGTGAGGCCAAACCTTAAATCCTGTGTTCAGTTTTGCGCTCCTCACTACAAGAAGGACATTGAGATGCTGGAGCGTGTCCAGAGAAGGGCAACAAAGCTAGGGAAGTGTCTGGAGCATAAGTCTGATGAGGAACAGCAGAGGGAGCTGGGTTGTTTAGCCTGGAGAAAAGGAAGCTCAGGGGAGAACTGACCTCTCTACAGCTACCTGAAAGGAGGTTGTAGCAAGGATGGGGTCAGTCTCTTATCCTAGATAATAAGCAACAAGAGGAAATGGCCTCAAGTTGTGCCAGAGAAGATTTAGATTGGGTATTAGGAAAAATTTCTTCACTGGAAGGGTTGTCAAGCACTGGAACAGGCTGCCCAGGTAAGTGGTTTTATCGTTATCCCTGGCGGTATTTAAAAGACATGTAAATGTGGCACGCAGGGACATGGTCTGGTAGTGGACTTGGCAGTGCTGGGTTAATGGTTGGACTCAATGACTTAGAAGGTCCTTTTCAACTGAAATAATTCTATGATTCCTTTTTTTTTTTTCTATACATCTTCATTCTGCTCTTTCTTTTTAATACTGAGATTCCTCCATCAAAGTGCTAGATGCACTAATTTCCATTTCAATGCAGCCGATAGTAGGTTTGTCTACAGTATTTTAATATGAAAGGAATATACATGGTTTTTTACTTTGTTCTTGACATGTAAAATTTGTTTATATCAATGTAAACATGAAAGCGGGTAGCTTTGTACACTCATTCCTACAACTGACTTGAATCCATTACAGTATTTTTAACAAAACAGTCTGTTAAGTCTAACCACAAAATCATCAAGAACAGGAGTAGCTCTGTTTCGAATAGCTGAAGCAGGTGGGCACATCACAGGCAAACAGCAGTGTGGCATTTCCCATAGAGTGGTTTCTTCATCATGAAATAATAGCAGAGTAACTGCATAGCTCAAGGATGTGAAAATGGAAGCAGACCTTTTGCACAAGTCTGGAACCTGGAAACTGAGTCACCTCCTGTAACAGAAGCCATCATTAGGCTGCTAAGGAAATTGTTTGAAATTCAGAAAATGCCTTTCTCTAGGGGCAGTAGCCAGGACACTTTCCTAAAAGCTAGATTAGTGTCCTCAATGCTGCAAAGTATGAGAAATTTTTTTTGTACCATGAGTCATTGGTTTTGTGCTCTTCCTTTTGAGCAAGTCCTTTATTTTTTGTTCTAAAAAATTATATATACTTATAGTTTTGGGGCTTTTGCTGGTTTTGTCTTAAGATAAGATGAATGCATCAGCATCATGCAGAGACAGACGTTTACAGCCTAGGATGCTGCAAAACCTTTTGCTGCCACATATTCACATAAAATCTGTCCACTTTAAACAACCTGAGGATCAAAATGTAAGAGTGGAAGAAACAGAAGGGGCTTGGGAGTGCCAGGAGCTTGTCCCTGTTCAGACCACAACCCAGTCCCAGCAAAGGAATGCAGAGGCCAGGGATGGACCTTCCAGGATGCAAATATGGTTCTTCATGGGCAAAGCTGCTAATGGTGCCTGCAGTCTGGGTTGGTGTGGACATACCTGGCATTCAAAAGCACCCACAGCCAATGGCAGACCTTGCCCTGCAGAAATGCTCAGCATCACTTTGTGTCTCTCTCATCTTGGCTGCATTTTCTCGGTGCTGAAATGAATTCATGGAGCACAGTAGGGCACTTGTTGTGAGGAAGAGAGGAAGAACCTGGCTGACCTCAGGTTGTGGAAAAGAATTGTTCAGGCAATAGCATGAAGGAAACCACTGCTCTGAACTAGAGTCTGGGAAGAAATGTTTTGGAGAAGTCACAAATCCAGCTGAGGGAAGGACTTTGTTGCCCATGGCTTAACTTCCAACTCAGTCACAGAGACAAAAATTTGCTAAACCTGTCAACCTAGCAGCTCTGTTGATTTAGACCTCAAAGCACAATATCTATTTAATACCACCCTCCTCTTCCTGCCCTCCTACATGGGCTGAACTTCATTACTGGAGCTCTAGGTTCTTCTGTAGACTTTGTTTATTTATAGGAACTTGGTGACTGATTTAGAGAAATCTCAGTTGGCTCATCTGAAAGATTTCATTCTTTAGGTGTAAAGCATCAAGATATTCTGTTGATGTGCAATCACTAGGCTAGTTGCAACCAGGCAGCTTTGTGAAGCATACCAAAGGAATGGCCAGCTCCTCTCTGCAAAACAAAACAATTCAGTTGAGGAAACATAATAAAACAAACAAAGAAGCATCTTTGTTAGAGTGAAAACTACATCCATCACAGATGGCTTTACTGTGATACTTGCTGTTTTTCATTTGTAAAACCTTAATTTCTCTTCTTAAAGAGTTCTGGTTTGGGCAGTTTCCAATAATGAGGCTTCTACTGTTATCTAGACCACGATCTGCCCTAAATTAATTTTTAAAGAGGTTTGGGGTTTTTTTTCAGTATACATCATGTTGAGTAATTTGGAAATATTTGCAGATGACACACTTTTTACTAGTTTATTGGAGAGGTTTTTTAAATGTATTCTCTATGCGAGCCGTGAGATAATGTCTTTGTCACATATCCTTTTCCATATTTTTTAGGAGACCCTGAAAGCTTTTGACCGGGAAGTAAATGCATTTGTGGACTATATGTTTGGACCTCGAGGTAAGCCGCTCCACTTCCATTTCCCATTTAGGAAATAACACCTTTACATATTACCACTCAAAAAAATTCTAGTAAGTCTTCTATCTGAGTAGCTTCTCATTGAAAAACGTAAACCAGGCAGAATAACAATATTTGCCGGAATACACCATTGTGGTAGGAAATCTATCAATGCACTGCATTTATATAAAGCAAGTTGATTTTTGTTTTGACTATTTGAGACAGTATTATCTGTAATATCAGTTAAAACCAATCATAGATTATACTGAAGCTGAAAGGAGAAATGACACACAATTTTAAATTTTTTTTAAGCTTAAATAAAAGTCACTGGATTTGGGATTCCTTTGTTTCTGAGAATATCACAGGAATTCAGTTTTACATCCTGATATGGAATAAAAACCCTGAAAGACTGGATCTTTTCGAAAGTGGAAAATCTGTTTTGGGAACTGATTCTCATTCATAATCCAGTTTGTTTGGTCCAGCTGCTTATTAAATTGCCTGCAGGATCACATCCAAAATTTCAATAAACCAGTAGACTGGGTAGGAGAACAGATGCATCTGTCAACTTCCCATTATTGCTTTCTGGCATAGTTTGGGCAAGAATAACCTAAATAATTGTAGCTTGGAGATGCCTCATGCTTTGTAAGTACTGAAACAAGTAATGGTAAAAAATGCCCAAACCTGAAATAGGATTGCAGATGAGGATGGAGCATCAAAGTCAGGGCTGAGAGACCCAAGCAAATAAAGGAAAGGGGTGAAGCAGGACCGTAGACAACACAGTCTTCAGAGAAGGTCCTTGCAAGGCCACCTTGTTATTGATAGGGCTGGATTTAAACATTGCACTTCAGGAATTGTCCTGAGACTTTTTCCCATGGTTAAATCTGGAACAGCTGCTCATGTGGATGGACATATTGTTATGGATTCCTAATTTGTTGAAGTAATGTCCTCCATGACCCAGAAATAACTGAAGGAAAGGGAAAGATATTGCGTTCTTAAAACCAAGAAATTTTCATTTTTCTTAGCTGGCTGGATGGCCTCAAAATCTTTTTCATCCTCTCTGCAGTAGATATGAAGTTTGAAAGAAAGATTTCTAGTGAAGAAACAGTGAACAGCTTGGGAACAGCAGCAGAAGTAGTTAAAACAGAATAGGTTTTATTAATGGCTTCTACAGTAGTGCATTTTAATATTAACAAAGAAATGCTATCAGAAAAATAAAGTACTATTTGGGGGGTTTTGTTGGGGTTTTGTTTGTTTGTTTGTTTGGGTTTTGTTTGTGGTTTTGTTTTGGTTTGGGTTTATGTTTGTTTTTAGTTTGGTTGGTTTTGGTTTTGTGATTTATTTTTTTCCCAAATGGCCACTATATTCTCTTTCATTCCTCTTTCCTTATTGGTCCAGACAAATTGTCTGAAGGAATGAACTGTAGTTAATCCAATTCAGAATAGCACACAGATCCCTTTGGGCTTTTAGAAAGCCCTTAAATTAAACAAGTATTATTTGTGTTGCTTGCCAAGTACATCACCATCCTTCTCCAGACAACAGTGCTGAACATAGCATTTGTTTGTCCATGGCCCTGCCTCTTCACCCTGATCTTTAATTTAATTGGTGGTATAATGACACGGTATCATACATTTTGTGAATAACATAGCTCCCTCCAGTGTATTCATACATATAAATAATTCACATAAATAATTCACAATAAACTGCAGTTTTAAATTGAATGACTCCACAGATGAATATCTAATGAATTTGAGAGCTTCCCCAAACATCTAAACCCACAAACCATTCCCCTTCTTTCTATCCACCAATTTTCTTCTACAGTACACAATTCATACAGCAGCAAGGTAATAGATTTTATACACATTTTTATACACATTTATACATATTTTGTACACAAAAGGATAGATTTTATACACATAAAATTTTATACACACAAATTTTGTACCTTCATTCACTGGTATCAGCTGGGCTTTGTACACAAATTTACCTCAATGTTTGCTTTTGAAGTAGCAGATAAAGTCCTTTGGATCAGGGAATACAAGCCATATAGATGTCCACCAGTTGCATCCCATAATTTGTTTGCTGATATTGCTCATAGGCTCAAGGTAAATTGAGAATGAGTGAAAAAGCTCTATTGTTCTGTAACAGATGATTTTTCCAGTCACTTTCATCTGCAGAGTACTGTTTGGTGTTATGCAAAATCAAGGAGTATTGAATTGCAGGAGGAAAATAAATCTAGTTAATTGGTTGCTTGTTTTATCTGTGAAAGAAAAGGTAGTCAAGAAGAGATATATTTTTTAAAGTTATGATAAAGTAATAAGCACTTCTCCTCAATAGAGTATGATCTGCAGAAAGGCGCTGGTGCAAAACCATCTACTCTCTGCACCTAAAAAGGTCTGAATCAACTCAGACACCAGCTGGCCAAAGCTAAACAGAAACTTGAATCAAAATGTTTCTAAACCTCATTGATAAAAGCCTGATACCTTTAAGGAGCCTGGGAGGCCTGCCACTCATTTCAAAGGAGCCAAGATTTCACCCCAAGGGTTTGGCACATCAGGGCCAGTGACCGTGAATGAGCCCATTCACGGAGTGATCAGAGCTTGTGGGCACCTGCTCCTTCCCCTGCTGTAGTCCAGTGCTTTCCCACTGTGGCTTTATTCACTGCATTGGTCTCAATTTCAGATGCTGTGCAAGTTCAATATTGTAAAAATAATCCTTTCTGCTATTGGCAGCGTACTTTTACAGTACTTGAACACAGAGAAGAACTGTCAGTCAACACAAATACTTTTCATCTCTCCTTCTTCTGATAACTTCTTTTGAAATACATTCCCTTTCCTCCCGCTTCCTGACACATGAAACCCTCCCTCCTCTTGTTGTTCAGGGATAAGCGGAAGTAGAAACAAAACAGTCACATTCCTTGGCTGCTGTCTATAAACCACTCTCTGCCAAAAACTGTCTTACACTTCAAGGTATCGAGGTCATGGTGGAAAATAATCAGGAAGGCTAAACATTTTAACAATTTCTCTTGAATCTGAAATAGTATAGAACTTAAAAATACTTGACATGCTGACCTGAACGAGCACACGAGTTCTACATTTGTATGGATCAGCCCACATGCTTGTAGCCACTCAAAACAGTATGGAAACTTTCTGAGGTCATACTGTGGCAGAATTTATTCTGTTTAGTTTAGTTTGTATTCTGAACTCTTCCAAATACTTTTCCTCTTTGAGCAAACATGTGGTTCTGTTACCTACTAATGCGAGTTGGCATTTTGCAAGTAACCTTTATGCACCAAGTGTTGCAATCCTCAGATTGCAAGGGAGACCTTTCCTTAGATAGCACTCTTGCTGACATGACTTCTTTCTACATCTTCATTTAGAATACTAATTAAATAAATGAAATCCTTATGCTCCTAAAACATACACTCCTAAAACATCAACACTTACATGCACAACCTTTACCTGTCTTATGACTCCTGTGTCCTGTTAAGAGCCAATTTGGGAGTAGAATCACCTAAAAACATTCATTCCAGAGCTTCAGACATGGCTCGTGAGCTTTCAGAGGGTGTTGGAAGGGTTTTATTATCACACTGAGGTGATCCTAATAAGCACTGCGATCCCAAGACAGAAAAGAGGTGGTGTAGATTGGTAATGCACAGCAAAGCAAGGCTACCCTGTAAGGATGGACTGTGCTTTGTAAAAGACAGTTGTAATGTTGTGACTGCCCACACCTCTCTACTCCTAGAGGTTTTTTGGAGTCCAAAAGGGAGAGTCAACCCAGGAGAGCATTGGATTTCCATGGTAGTGTGGACCTGGTTGAAAGTCTTTCACACGAAAGAGCTAACATCCCTCGTGGACTCCAAATTCAGCAGGTGAATGTTACAGCCACTGCCATGGAAACAAGGGGAGAAGTGGAGGAAGAGTGTAATGAGAAAGAAAACTGATGTTCATTGTCTGGTTCATAAATAGGTTACTCTAACACACTTAAAATTTCACTTTACGTATACCTGTATGCATATACTTCTGAGGAAAGAATAGTCAGAAGGAATACAGTACAGCAAAATTGTAATAAATTTTTAAATGCTTGGGTACATTTGCTTTGTGTGTCATCCATTGACCAGTCCTTTCCAAATTCAACACAGGCAGAAAAACAGTAAAATGGTTTTTTGTGCACTGTGAATACCTTTTCTTTTACAATTTTTAACATTATCTTGGTTCTTTGTAAACCATAAACTAAGTAAAACATTTTCTAAGAGCAAAAACATCTTCCTAAGAGCAAAAATAACTACTTTCTGTATGACCTGCACAGTAGGTCCTCACTGACTTCCTTCTTCACTTCATAAGTCATGAGAGATTAGAGTAAATTTTCTAAAAACTAGGCATGATACCCCCTTGTTCTTTTCACAGATAAATGGCTGAATATTGTTACTGTGGAAAATTAACTCTAAATTTTACTCCATCATGGGAAAAAACAAAGAAAAGAAAGCACACTCCTTTTGCTCTTGACATCAAGTTACTCATATAACAACAAAGTTGTGCCTCCAGATTGGCATCTAGGATTAGGCTTTGCTCATATACATTGAACTATCTGATTACTGCCAATAGGATTACTTGTGTGAACAAGACAAGAAGGATTTGACCTTAATATTTCATTGCAGGACCAGGCAAGTGGGACAGAAACTGTGAGAAAGCAAGCCCTTGCCCAGCCAAAGATCTTTGATAACCATCAAAGTACACGTTTGCCACTTGCTTTTCATATTTAATGTTTTGGAAAAGTCCTCCCTGTATAAATATTTTCTAGCAAATGTTATATACCTTCCTACCTGTATGGCAAGTAAAGAATTAAAATAACATACAATCTGGCAATATTACATGCATATTTTGTATTTAACACTATCTGCAAACTGTCCATTGAGCAGATAAGGATAGTATTTAAATAAATACTAAGTTAAAACATTAAATTAAATTTTAAGCCTATAAGAATTTTTTTTGCTTTTTATTTTCTCTTTACTGTTAAAATGAAGTGATTTAAATGACTTTAAATTATTAGGAAATTTCATGCAGTTTTCAGCCCACATTCTCTGAATTAGAATGCAGTTTTGGTGAGGTGAAATGAATGGATAGCTCTTTCTGAGCAAAATGTGGCAGATTACCTCTCATGCTTTTATCGGACTTTTTGCATGATGTATTCTGATTTATTTTAGCAGTACTTTACCACAGCCTTCTTAATTGCCTGCTCTGTGTGGTTTTTTTTTTAGATGCCAGGGTTAGAGGATGGTTCCTTTTGGACTCTTACCTTCCCACATTTTTCCTTACTGGAGCATATCTACTCTGCATATGGCTGGGCAAAAAGTTCATGAAGAACAGGCCTCCTTTCTCTCTCAGGGCTCATCTCATTGTGTATAACCTTGGGATCACACTGCTCTCCTTCTACATGCTCGTAGAGGTAAGTGTTCTTCCATGCACTGAGGATGAGAAAGGTGAGCAATACACAGGTTTTTAGCCAAAATATCTTAGTGACAGGTAGTTTTGCTAGGAAAGTTAAAATCAGCAGCAAAATAAACTTTAAAATCAAAAAAAGGCCCTTAGCAATTGGAGAGTGAGTTGTACAGTACTTTCTCATCTTAGATCTTGGCATGTTTTGATCATCCTTCCTGAGCTACAGTCCACACCTGGGACAGCTGGCTGCTACCAGGACTACATTTACAAGCATAAATTTGAATCTACAACAGTCCAAACATGCCTACACCTCATTTTTCAGCACCCGCGAAAATGCCCATGGATTGTGTTTCATTCATATGACTGTCTATGGAATGGGTTTTCCATGTACAAATGTCCATGCTTAAATATGTACAAATTTATATACGAGAGCAAGTACTGATTTATTTATAGTATTGACAATTCAATGTTATTTTTCTGCTTTCCTGACTAAGAAGCTTTCCTCATATAGTCAGACAGTCAGAGACAGATGTTAAAATCTTACCACTTTATCCAAAAGCACGTGCTGTGGGGCTTGGAGGCTGAATATGGTCATATAGATTATTTTCCAAGTACTTATCAGGAAGGAACATGCTCACACAAATCAGGATTCATTCAGAACCAAAAGAGAGGTTTGAATGCATCTGATGATTTTGCAACAACAGAGGACTCAAACAGTGCTCCTCGGTAGACAAGTGTTTTCACCTCCTCAGTAGAGAGCAGAAGGCAAAAGTCACTATTTGGATATTATTTGGGAGCTGCCCATTCTCAGCCTTCTGATAACTGAGGTACTTTTAATGTTAAGGTAATAACATAAATTACTTGTGGCCCTTAAAAACAAATGCTACAAGACAAAAACCACAAAACATTTTCTGACTTGGTTTAAGAAGTGACCCAAGGCATGTGAAGCCCTGGCTGAAGAATGTGCATGATTTCATGGTGTGACCTGTGGAGGTGTCAGCTGACACTGCTGTGTTGCCTGCACGGCCTCATGGTATTTCTTGCTCCCTGGGCTCTCGGCCACGACAGCAGTTTCCACGAGAAATACAAGGGTTAACTTGTTCTGTCAGTAGGACAGGAAACTTTTCAGAGGCCAAACAGGACCCCCAGAGATTTCAAACTTTAAATTAATTTGAACTAAACACCAAGTGACTGGCCTGGTCAGAAGGCTGAGCAACAGTTTAGATTTGTGCCCTTGTGCAAAGGACTGCATACAGCTTCATCCTGGTTAGAGCTCCAGCTGGCTTCCAAGGCTGCTGTGGTGTCTGAGGGTGCAGGATAAGGTTTAGAGCAAGGGAGAAACAAGCACAGTTGCTGGAAGGTTTGATGACTCCATAATGATTGTCCTCTAGAATTTAAATTAGTACTTTGATGTTTAAATCCCCATTTTGCTTGAAGGTATACAGATAACTGGCTGCAGTAGAAGGACTCAGCAAAAAGGATTAGCTGAATAGAGAACAATACTGCTTCTCCCTTCCCCTGGCAGTCTGATTTGGCCTGCCACAAGTAAAATAAATGAAAGAACAAGGAAAATTTTAGCAGGTCTCTCTTGTAGGAATGAAGCAAACTTGGTTTCAGCCATCTTCACATCCTTTTAGGAATTGTATTTAACCAGCTCCCATTCAGCTGCCTCACTGGTCTGTCCTTCCTGAGGCTAATTTTGCTGCAGACAGTCACTGAGTTGTGTTAGTCCTCAGATTAGTCCTTTGATACCTTGATTCTGAGTCTGGAGGCTGCTGATTTATACCTCCCAGATTGCAGCTGGGCATGGCTGACAGCGCCAGCTTGTAGCTCCACATTCTGCATTTTTTGGGAACCCAGGGAACATGATGACTGATCTATACTGCCAGCTGTTTTACTGCAGATTTTCCCTCTTAGCTCTGGACTGACAGTCAGGCTGGTTTTACACTGTACAAAACACACTGCCATAATAGTATTTTTCATAGTCTAGTTGCCTGGCTCCTATCACAGCTTTTCCTGTGAAAGAGCAGAAAGGAAGCTAAGACTTGCAGATCTGCCTAGGGTAGCTTGCACATCCCTACTGAAGAAAAACGGCAAATGGGAGAGCAGAAATCATCTTCAGTACAGAATAAATTCATGGTGATTCAGTATTTCCAAATGTCTGATTTCCAAAGCTTCTCTTTGCCCCTTATTCTCTCTGTCTGTTGGGGACATTAAGCTCTTTAAGGCAAGAGTTACCTATATTTAGCACATTCAGCACGGTGGTTTCTTATGTAAACAAGTTGATCCCTCCAGAGAGTGTGATTCAGGATTAATTCTCAGTTAGACACATCTATAATAGTTGTTTTATTCCTCCATCCTCCCACTGCATCTAAACCACTCTACTCTCTCTACCAGGGATAATCACAAAATAATAAGTTCTACAATAGAGATAAAAAACCAAAACAAAAAAAAAAAAAAAAACCCCCCCCCAAAAAAAAAAAAAAACACAAACAAAACCCAGCCAGTAATGGGTATTGTTGTTCTTATCTCTTCTTTGTTTTGCTTATAAGGTGCCACACACCATTTCTTTCAAGACATTCAAAAGAAAAAAATATCTTGTTCAAAGGAAAGGGTGTATCTCCAAATGCAGACTATCCCATATGATGGATTTAACAAGAAACTTTGCAAACCTGCTTATGGGAGTACTTGTGCTTCAGTTTTTCATCTCCTGACTAGTTTAGCTGTCCCTTAATGACAGCTGATTTGTACAACCTCAAGGCAAGAAAACAAAGGTTATGGCGAAAAGTCCTAACAAAAGAGCCGTTTTTAGATCTCCAAGGGCAGATTCCTCTTTTGAGCCAGAGCTCCATGCACTGCACCATAGGCATGATCTATCTGGGAGCTGATTTTAGCTCTATGAGCTTTGAGGTCAACCAATCCGCAACGTACGTGGAGGAACAGCTCCAGGACAACTCTAAGATGTGCCATTAGCGTAAGGTCAGGTACCCCTACTATCCCCCAAGGACAAGGTCTAAGGATAAACAGCTCTGCTCATCTGCCCCCAGCCTACTGAGACGCCTCAACATTTTTGTGTCAAGAAGGAGTTAGGTGCATCTAAAGGCCCCCCTTAGAAGGGCAGTTTATTATACCTTAATCTGGACTTTTTAGTTAGGCAAATAGATTTCATTGACGTTGTCAAATGCACTTACCTCTCCCAATTAAATATGATGCAGAAGTGGGCACTTAGTTCTGGAGCACTTTTTTTTAAAGTACCTGAAGTGAGACAAAAGTACTGGGCTTAAATTAGGCAGGCTGCAGGTGCACTGATAGGGAGGCAGAAGACAATTTCTTCCATCCTTGCTGCTACCAAAGAAACCTGCATCAGAAGTTTGTTATCGGTTGTGCATTTCTCTGTACCATTAAGTGCTCATAGCCTCAGACAACTCTGCCAATCCAACAATTTCTAGCAACATGGCCAAAAGTCTGCATAAGGAAGAACAGCCACCACCTTTTTATTTTTATAAAAATCCAAACTTTTAACAATTTTACTGAACAAATAGATGCCATTTCTCTACACAAATCTCTGCCTAAGATCCTAAAAGTACCAACTATGAGCAGAAAACCAGCTTATTGTGAAAACCAGTTATGTCTGTGAATATTTTAAAATTATTTTATGTGCTCACAAACCACACTTTGGGCATTCTGTCTGAGGCACCAGAGGCCACAGGATAAAACTGTCACAAGTCCAATGATAAATTAAAACTGGAAACACAGGAAACCAATGCTGATCTCCGAATTCTGAAATTACTCAGGTGAGGATACTGTCTCTCATTAATAGGAAAAGACATAATCTCTGCCAGGGTCTTAGGCTGCTTTCCCCAGCAGTAAGTATCACCTCTGCCCTATTTAAATTAAATCTCAGCTGGTCATCAAGGTCTCACCCAAGTCCTTTTGTTGATCAGGCACTGAGAAAACCAGGACACTGGCACAATTTGGGTCAGATTAAAAAAAGAGATCTAGAGATAGGTGTGATTAGCATAAGGGTGGCGTGATGTCTCAAGCTGCCTGTATCCCCAGATACCTTCTCAGACTTATTACAAATCCATAGGATTTGTAAACAAGCAACCACATCCATGTGAGAAGGGCTGAACTTGCCCGTGAGGGCCCCTTGATTTAAAGCAAAGGGAAAAGAGCAGCGCTCACAAGTATTGCCAGCCCAGTGCATTAACTTTTCTACAGAAACCAGAAGAAAAGTCTCTTACGTTACAGGATTAAATAAAGTAAAAATCAGTAAATCAACTTCACTTTACCTGTTTCTAGGAGCTGAAAATTCATCCCACAGTAAATCCAAATTCAGAATTATGGTCACAACTTGCAGATTTACAGGTGACAAGATGGTGAGAAGATTCCCAAGAATACCAGAATTGCCTTCCGTGTATCCTCTGATAGCAGGGAAAGGTCAGAAGCACAGTGCTGGTATGGACAAGTCCATCAGCCACTGTTTTTAACCCTACACACTGCAACCGAGATTACATCTCACATATTACTAGTAAGCCAAATATAATGCCTGAATTGGGCATAATGGGGCAAAACAAAAGGAACAAACCAAAAAATAGAAACCAAATAGAAAATAGAAACCAAAAAATAGAGGGAGCACTTAAACTCTGTTTTATTCCATCATTATATTGGCTGACATCCAGAAGATTTGCTTTCTTACTGTGCAAGTGTTGAAAAGATAGAGCTTGTGTAGCAGAAGTTCTAAGAAAAGCTTTAACAATGCAGATGATGAGGGAAGGTAAAAAAGATACAGATTTTAGCCAATTTCAACTGTGCTGGAATTTTACAATAGAAATCCAACTTCAACATAATCTTGCTTTTGGTGTTTTTTGGTTTTGTTTTGTTGTTTGTTTTTTGGTTTTTTGTTTAAGAATGTGGTAAATTATTGTTTTCTCTCTTCATTAATTGTTCAGAAGTTAACAAATGTAAATTAAGGACGGAAGTAGGGCATGATTCTAGGTCTATAAG